CCAACCTGTACCCCCAAAAGTTCGGGCTTTTTGTTGGGAGGTGGTTATCCAAAAAATTAATACTCTAGATATGTTGCAAAGAAAAAGGCCAAATGTTTGCCTATCACCCCATGTTTGTAGCCTCTGTTTGGGATCTAGTGAGACGATCACACACCTATTGATTTCTTGTCCATTTGTATGCTTTATTTGAACCTGGTTATCTTCTATCTTTGGTTGTAGATGGACACCTCCCCCAGATGTGGCAAGCCTTTTTGACCCAAGCTTTTTCAAGCAACCGAAGAGGCGTGGAAGATTAATGTAGAGAGCCACAAGAGCAGCTATCTTATGGTCAGTTTGGGAAGAAAGGAATAATAGAATCTTTAAAGGCGTGGAGAAATCCAAGGAGGCAAATGTAGAAAGGATAATTATTATAACCATTCATTGGTTGAAAACTCTGGATTTGTTTAAAGACTTCTCAGCTGAAGACATTTACAAGAATTGGGAAGTGGTGGCTTCTACAACTTCCAAGAAACCTATTGTATAGGAATTGCGGTCCCCACCAACACAACAAAGAGTGAAATTGAACTTTGATGGGAGTTCAAGAGGTAACCCGGGCCCTTCGGGTATAGGAGGAGTATTAAGAGATGGAAAATGGCAGAATTGTGGCTTTGTTTTCAAAACCAATAGGAGTGGGGGACTCATTGAGAGCAGAGGTGATGACCTTGCTTCAAGGTGTAAGATATGCAAAACAGTTGGGGTTACACCAAATTGAGATTGAGGGAGACTCTAACTTGTTGATTGAGTGGCTGCAATCTGGTAAGTTGAGAGCCTGGATTTATAGACAGCCCATAAGGGAAATCCACAATATAACAAGGGAGGTCGATGCATGCTTCAAATGGACAAGAAGATCAGCTAATGGTTTAGCTGACACGTTGGCTAAACAAGGGACTGTGAGGGAGAGTATGTTCTGGGCAGTTTTGTAAGAAAGATTATTGGGGGCTCAACACCTACTTAGGGGTTGACAGCTGTACTTAAAAAGTTATTTTTATAGTCATTTTAATGATGTTACCGTTTCCAATCAAAAAAATGAGGGCAGTTTTGGCATTTTAGGAAAGTTGAGTGAGGCTGGACTGAGGAGCTATCGTGAAGATCAAGGCTTCAGGAAATCAAAGAGTTGTGAAGTAAGTGGGAACCATCTGAACCTGGCCGACTTAATTGCTAATGCAGCCTGCTTAATTTAGTGGGTTGTGGTTCCGATGTGGAGGAGGAGGGGTACAAGGAAGGTTTATTTGAGAAGCGGTGGATTCTGAAGAGACACTTAGGATCACTGGGTCAAGTGGAAGGCCAAGTGTTTCCTAAAAGTCGATTGTTATGAAGGTAGGAAGGCCAATCGGTGTATGAAAGATAAAGTGAACAAAAATTGGTCTTTGAGTTCCAAGCAGCCAAAGTTTAAAAGGTTCAGAACTTTCGGTAGAAGTTTTCCAAGAAAGGAAAAGGGAGAAGCTTGGGTCTCTGAGCAATCACTGAATATGATAGGAATGGTGCAAAGAGGTTAGTTAAAGGAGCTAGGATGGAGCATGATGACCATTGCCTTCCTCCAGTTGATGGTGCTTCAGGCCTCGGTTCTAAAGATGTTGGAGATCCGGTGGCCCCTGTTCAGGTGGAGAAAATTGCAGCAGAGCCTCAGGAAAACATGGATGTCCTGGACAAGTCTGATATTATTGCCCCTCGAGAGGTTCCTTCAGCCAAGCTGATAAGGTTGGGAGTGGAGGAGGAGGAGCCTGAGGTAGAAAGTGTCGATGTTCGTGCTAAAAATGAGATCGAAGATGAGGTGGTGGGAGGGAGGGCTTTCGAGGCAGGCAGCAGCGGTGGTTGCCAGGATGAGAATCTAACTAGTGGCAACTTGCGTTTTGAAGAAGTGAGGGTCGGAAGATTAGGCGTCGATATGGGTCGAAGGAGCAAGGTTGATGAGAAGAATGTGGAGTTAGATAATGGGGGAACTAGCAAGAAAACACGGGTTTCAAGAAATCCTCATGTTGTTCATGTGACAAATTTTTTTTCCCAGTTGAAGATTGGTCTAGTAGGGGCAGGACCTACAAAAAGTTTTAAATGGGTTTACAAAAGAAAAGGATCAAAAGGCATTTGTCCATCAGATTCTAGTCTTTGTGGAGCAATGATTCAAGCTCAACCACCGGATCCCCGTCTGGGTAAGGTGCATCAAAAAGAGAAAGAGAGTTTTGAAGGTTCTAAAGTTGATGAAAATTCAATGGAAAAGAATGAAGAATTGCCTCTTCAGAAGTTAGTGAAGAAAGAAATTAAGATTGGCAAAAGTGTTGGCTTATTTTTTGGGAAGGTGAGGATTTTGCTATGAAGGCTTTTGAGGAGTTTGAGAGAAAGAGGAAGGAAGAGAGTTTGAAGAAAGTAGTAATTGGGGACGGAAGAAAGAAATGGAATGAGGATGTCGATAGGCATGATGGAGTGTTCGAGGGCAAGGAGTTGGGAGATGATGTTGGGGCTTTGCGATTCAAGGAGCTCGATGAAGGTGTCCGGAAGTGTGCTTTTTGGTTTTTATGTTGTTTGGCTGTAATCTGATGTCAAAGGTAGTGAGTGTTTGTGTCTGTTGCTTTCTCTCGAGTGATTTTTTATCACCTTTCTCTTGTATTCTCTTTTTCTTTTAATGAATTTATCCTTATTCTTCAAAAAAAAAAAAACAAATGGTGGAAATTGACCAAGTTATGCATTTCTTCAGATCAATTCTCAGCTATGATAATGGAGTATCTGAGGATTTATTTTTTCAAAGTGAAAAGAATATTAGGTAAGGTGACCCTTTATCCCCTTTACGTTCATTATTGCAGCTGAGGCTCTCACTAGACTACTTCAGAGAGCAGAACCAGTAGATATGGATTCAGGTTTCCAAAGCATTATATACTGACCTGGTAGCACATTTGTATATACTCACAATATTTGAGACACTAAGCATGAATCTCTGAGGTGTCTCAGGTGTACTCATCTGTTTTGAGACAATTTCTGGCCTTAGAATCAATATTTTAATGAGGAAAATATTCTTGGTGGGTGAGATTCCAAATTTGATTGAGTTAGCAAGTGCTTTTTCAGGCAGGGAATTGGCACTCCTAACTAGATACCTCAGCTTGCCGCTTGATGCAAACTAAACTGAGCTCAACACAACTAAGCCTTGTCCCAACTAAACAGGGTTGGCTATATGAATCCTGTTCTTCCATAACACTGTTCAATGTCATTTCCATTTTTAAATTATGGGCCATCAAATCATTTCTTATGGTTTCAACCAATGTCCTTTTTGGCCTACCCCTAGCTCTTCTCGACCCTCCAACTTGTAGCAGATCACTTACTAATGTTGTAGATGGTCTTCTCTGCACATGGTCAAACAATCATACCACCCATTGAAGCTAATCCAAGTTCCTATAAAACCACCAATCTTCTTCCCATAACATCCAAAACATCTCAGCATCATGATAGAGAAAAGAAATGGACTAAAAAGAACCTAGTCATAAGACCATGGGCCCACAGCCCATGTTTGTAGCTTACATGCAAGACAGCCCATGAATTGGACCCATTCCAGCAGTAATGTGGGGCCAATACAGATTCTCTCAATCAAAGATTTGATTTGGCATCATATTAGTCAAAGATTGAGAAAACATTTTAGATTTATTTCTTTCCTTGTTTAGTTACATTTTTTTTGATAAGTTGTAATTTTATTAAAAGAATGTATACATACAGAAAATCATCCATGTAGAGGTACAAGATGCTATCTCTCAACCATTACATTTACATTACAACTGAGCCCAATACAATCAATCCCTAGTTGCCCCTAGCTTAGTTAATGTATGATGCATCAACCAACCTGTTAGCAGACCTTTATATCCACTGTACCCTCAGCACCAATCTGCTTGTTAACCATTTGAACCTTTTAGCTTCATCCCTATTAGCTTCAACACCCTCCACTTGTAGTCTTATTTTTAATGTATAGGCGGTTCTGACTATATTTTTTCCTAATTTAAAACTAATCCAAAAGCAAAGCTATTTTCTTATCTAGATGGTGGTTCAATGATCCAGCTTTTCAAAGAAACCCATGATGCCATAATTGAATAATAAATATTTAGAAAAAGATAGAACACCAAAAATGCAAATGTACAAAATTTTGTTAAAAATATTTGAAAACATTTCTGATGTTATATATTTATCATATTAAATATAATAATTATTAAAATAAAAGTTATTTTTATTTATGATAAAAATGCAATACAAAATCTAATAATAATAATAATAATAATAATAATAACAATAATAATAATTGTTATTTCCTACAAGCATTTAAGTTTATTTTTAATCATATTGTCACTTTTGTTAATTTTCAATTTTATCTTAATTATAATATATCTAAAATTCAAATAATTAATATGAAGAAAAATTTCTCACATATGTGATTAATTACTAGTTAGCATTAAGATTGGCATAATGACAAAATTAAAATGATATCTATAATGCTAAAAAAGGTATCATACTTAACTAATTACCTCATAGGTGAGATGGTCGAATGGCACCCCCTTCATTTACATGCACAGAATCGAAGAAACTATCTATATGTAAGCTCTCTGTGGTATGCATGCTGCTCCCTGCTCTAAAGGCCCTCATAGAGTAATTCTTTGAACTTGACCATATGCTCTGTTTGTAATCGCAAATATATGACAATGCCTCCATCTTCTGCTGACACCAAGAATGCCCTGCCATCTGGCCTCACAGTGGCGGGACCCATGTGGAACGGTTGGCCCCACCCAAAGTCCACCGAATACAATGGTAGCCCTACCCAGCTTGTGATGGTCAAATTAGGGCACCGGTAGCCAAGTCTGAACCGACTCAAATCACGATAACTTCCTAAAAAGTCAATAGTCGATCGAACATACTCATCTGTCATCCTCTTTATACTTTCTCTAATCTTGCCGGCAGCGTAACTGAGAGGCTTTGATATTAGGTCGCCAGCTTTTGCCATTGGGGTTGTTGGGAACGTTGCATTTCCAAAGTAATTGGCCGGAAAATCTGGTCCTAAGCGACGACGGCAGTCAACTAAGACTTTTACCTGGTCTCTTGCTCATTCACCAATCCTCGCGCCTTGGACGCACATCTCCATATGTGTCCCGCCAAGGACTCATACCGACTGTACTCACGATTCGCGCCTTGGACGCACATCTCCATATGTGTCCCGCCAAGGACTCATACCGGCTGTACTCACGATTCGCGCCTTGGACGCACATCTCCATATGTGTCCCGCTAAGGACTCATACCGGTTGTACTCACGATTATCTACGTTGCCATTGTTTTCTCGTCCTTCATTAGCTACTCTCTTCAGGAGCTCTACTTGGTCAGAGCTCAGCTTTAGTACAGCCACAGTGGTTTCCTTCTTCTGCTCCTCCATCTCGTCCACTTGACCCACCAACATTGGTGGTCGCTTGTACTCTATGTGGTCGAACTTGGGCGTGTCCTCCTCATTCTGAACTCTAGGATGTAGAACAGTCCTATCAAGAAATGGCGTCAACTCTGGATCTACTATGTTGGAACGAGCCATTTGGGCCCATGTAGTAATGAACAGCATTGACGCTGCTCCATCTGCTACTACGTGTGATATCCCCATGCCTAAGCAGATGCCACCACATCGAAAGGAAGTGATTTGCACCGCCAACGGTGGTCATTCATTGATTTGGGTCCCATTATAATCAACGTAAGGAACTAGTTTACTCAGCTCTGGAGTTGGCATGAAGTTGCCCAAGTCGTCAATGCAGGAATGAGACTCAGCTTCCACGAACAGAGCACCTTTCCCGTTGCAGTTGAGCTCTAGACCGCCGTCCTTGTCCTTCTCAATACATCCCGTGAGTGGGTAGAATTCCACTAGGGCTTGACTTAGTGCAGTCTTCATGGTTTCTGCCAAGAAGAAGTTGGGTTGGCCATTAGGTCTGTAGAAGTAAACAGTCTCAGTAGTCCAAGGCTTTATCTGATCAGTTGGAGATAGACCAAGCCGGTGAATTGGTGTCGGTTTTAGTGGCTTCACTGCGTATGAACCCTTCAAGGTCACCTTCACCATCTCTCTGTGGCGCTCTCTCTCTCTCTCTTCCTCTCTCTCTCTCGTACTGTCTCCCAACCTCAATTTCTCTATACTTGTTGTGTGGTGTGGCTGATATAGATTTTAAAGTGGTCAATTTGATTTCTGAGAAGTCTATCAACCTTCACAGTTGGGTTGATGATATGGGTTTCATGCCAATTATGACGCTCTGATCACCTCAGAATTTTTTAACCCCACAGTCCTGACCGTGAATTGATGTCAAATTCGCGAGCAGATGTCGTATACAGGGGATTAACAGAAGACTAGGGTTGTCATTCAGAATTCCGCATGGCATTCTCTATTTTGTAAATTGCTGAAGTGAAACCTCCCCCGTACAGCCGAACTTCTGACCGTTGTGGCAAATTACGCTCTGATCGTATGGTCATGATTCATCTATCAAACAATTTAATGATTGATCGGTACAGGTCAGAATTTTTAATGTTATGGGCCCGGGCGTAGGATCGCGTCATGGGTCGGTCCACGGGGAAACGCTCCTGTTTTCCCTTGTTCCTCCCCTTCCTAGCTGAACCTATCTTGGCGTCCTAGAGGGTGATTTGTCCAAGAGATCACC